AATTATCATTCCAAAAGAACAATAAAAAAATCATTCATTTGGAATGATTGAAGTTATCGTTCTAAATGAACGATAAAAAATCGTTCATTTGGAATGATTGAAGTTATTATTTTAAACGAACAATAAAAAAATCGTTCATTTAGAATGATTGAAGTTATCATTTCAAATGAACGATAAGAAAATTGTTTGATTGGAACGATTAAATTATCATTTTAAAAGAACAATAAAAGGATCGTTTAAACGATCTGAAATTTTAGATTAATCCAAAATTTTCAGTTCAGTTCAGATTTTTACCAGTTTACGATTCAGTTCAGTTTCAGATTAGCATTTTTAAGATTTATAATCTGAACTGAACTGAACTGTTTAGAGCATTAGTTTTAATGCTAGTTCTGACGATGGTTCTTCTAGTGGTTTTGATGGTGGTTTTCTGGTGATTCTGGTGGTAGTTCTGGTGATGGTTCTGGTAGTGGTTTTAGTTTTAGCAAAAATACACAAACCCTTATTGATGCAATAAAAAACAAATTAAAATCTGAAAATAAGCACTTAACTTCAGGATATAAGGTTCAACTTAAAGCTACACAATATTATTTGCAACTTCTAAATAAAGGATATGCAAAATTAAAAACAAGTCAAGTTGTTGCAGATATTTTTAATTGAGGAGGATGGTTTGCACGTTATGTTAGAAGTTAGACAAAAGCATTTAAAAATTATGATGATGTTTCTAAAGATAATCGTAAATAACATTTTAAAGGAAGCAGTATTCTTAATGATAAAGACATTCAATTAAAAGTAGCTTCATATTTGCGACAACACAAATTTGATGTTACTGTTGAAAAATTTTGTGACTTTATTAGTAAAGAAATTTTACCTTCAGTTAGTATAGAAAATAAAACAACAATTAGATATAAATTTAATTTATTTTATATATTTTTTTTAAAAATTATTTATTTTATTAATTTTTTTTTTATTTTATTTTTTTTTTTTAGCAAAAAAATAGCAATTCAATGGTTGAAAAAAATGGGATTCATATTTAGTCATTATATGAAAGGCATATATATTGATGGTTATGAAAGAGAGGATATAGTTACATATCAAAAAGAATTTCTTAAAACTATGGCTAGGTATTATGATTATGTACTTTTTTTAAATAAAAAAATTTTATTTATTTTTTTAATTAATGTGATTATTATATTTATATTAATAGTTATCAAAGAGTAATGTCAAAATTTATTGGTGAAGAATGTGAAACTCAAATTAATCCTGAATTAAAAGATGGTAAATGTTTACATATTCTTGTTACTCATGATGAAACAATTTTTCAATCAAATAATGGACAGAAATCAGGTTAGAAATCTAAAAATGAACAGCTATTACATAAAAAAGAACAAGAATGATCTATCCATATTAGTGATTTTTTAACAGAAACTATTAGAAGATTAAAATTAAATGATGACGATAATGATGATATGATTCCATATGAAGCTCATGTTATAATTAATCCTGAAAAGAATTTCGATGGATGGTGGAATGTTAATCAATTAATTGATCAGGTAAATTAATATATAAAATGAAAATAATTAAATTTTAATTATTTATATAAAATCAGCTAACTTATTTTATATTATTTTAATAATTTTAATAATTATAGATTAATACTCAAGCAATTCCAATTTTTGAAAAAACACATTCTAGAATGATTGCAGTATTTGCATTTGATAATTCTTCTAGTCATGCAAAATTAGTTAATGATACTCTTAATGCAACAAATATAAATCTTAATTCTAGTGAAAAATAACCAATTATGCGTGATACTATTTTTAATGGACAAGTTCAAAGTATGATATTTCTTGCTAATTATCCAGATGAAAAACTTCATGAAAAATCTAAAGGAATGAAAATAATTTTACAAAAATGTAATTTATAGGAATCAGGATTAAAAGGATTTTGTGATAATAAAGAAATTTCATCAGAAAATCCAAGATGTTATGCATATCATATTTTGGCTACTCAAGAGGATTTTCTTAATCAAAAACTACTTTTACAAAAAATTATTGAAGGACTTGGACATAAAGTAATATTTTATCTAAAATTTCATTGTGAACTTAATTACATTGAAATGTATTAGGGAGCTGCAAAGCATTATACTCAATAACATTGTAATTATACATAAAAAGGTTTACAAGAAACAGTTCCAAATACATTAAATTCAGTTTCTTTATCTCATATAAGAAAATATGCATGAAAGTCAGCAAAATTTATGGAATGTTATCAGAAAGGATTGATAGATATACAGGCTGATTATGTATTAAAAAAATATAAATCACATCGGGTTGTTCCAAATTTTATTTTTAAAAATATTGATGAATTAATAAAATAAAGTTTTAATTTTGATTTGCATAATAATCATATGATTTAAATTTTGACTAATAATAAATCATTATATTGCTATCACGTGATTTTTAAACAAAAATTTCAATTTGAAACATTCGATGATTTATTATATCCTGCACTATATTAAATTCTTGATTTATAATAAAATCCTTAAAGTTTATCCTAAATATACATTGTCGTTTAAAGTAATAATTATTTGTAAATCCTTCAGAGCTTTTAAAATATCAATTAAAGTTAAATTCTTTATTAATCTTATATTAATCAGTATGTAAAATTTATTGCACATGTGCACATTAAATTTTTGTGTGCACATATTACACAGCATAAAATGTGTACAAATAATTACTAAAATAGATAAATTATATATAA